ATATCACATCATTTTAATTTACGTATCGTTGAATAGTGATGAATCGACATGTTTCTCATTTTGTTTTGCCTTTTATATTTCTTTTTTTTCAGTTTATATCTTATGTTCATTAAAAAAATTATTTTGAAATTATTTGGTGTAGGTGAACCTAAAGGTAGAATTAAAATATGACAGAGGTATGTTTTCAAGAAAAAGAAAAGTACCACAAGATTCACAAATCATATTTGGGGATGATTTGAAGGAGTCATGAAGTAGTTTGTTTATTTTAAATACTTACATGATATATGACTGGGTATACTGAAAATTGATGTATGTGTGTTTGTATACAGTAGTTCCCAACCTTGTCTATGGTTTTGCTTTGCATGGTTTCCATTACTTATGACCAACTGCAGTCTGAAAGTAATAAATGGAAAATTTCAGAAATAAGCAATTTATAAGTTTTAAATTATATACCATTTTGAGTAGCATAATGAAATCTCAAGTGGTTGGCTCCCACTTTGGTGGGACATGAATCATCCCTTTTTCTAACGTGTGATGCTATATATATGTCACCACCCAGTAGTCACTTAGTAGCCGTCTCAGTTATCAGATCAAAAAACAGTATGTGGAGGGTTTGGTACTATCAGTAGTTTCAGGCATCCACTGTGGGGTCTTGGACTGTATCCTCCGATGACAAGACGGGACTATTGTAGTTCTTAAAAATAAGTGGGTATGCCTATAAATACTTTCTTGTAACTTTTTGTACCTATCAAATGCCTTATAGATCATTTTATGGCAGCACATGTAGATCTACCTCAGTTTTATCTACTACATATTTTTCCATAGTATATATTTCACATGTTGATTTATTATTTAACATATTTATATAATATACAGTGATTGCTTGAACATAATCTCAAATGCTCTGGAAGATATGTTTTGTATGAATATGTATTTCATATACTTTATATGCTTAGGCATTAAAAGCCCTCAAAAAGTTCCATCCGTTGATGTCAAGTAATGACAAGGTCTGTGTCATAAAGTGCTTTTTGTCACACTGGTCTCTGGTGTAGGCCTTATATGTTTTAAGTCTCCAGTAGTGTTATTTGAATGAGTGAATTCCCAAACCAAATCACTGGGCCATGTAACAATATATTCCTCTCAGAATAGTTGTGAAAATTTACCTGGAAAGAATACATGTGGTAAAACTAGAGTAATATGATATTTAACAATATATTAGAATTTCTTCTGTCATTATTTTTAAAGTTCTCATCTTGATATATCAAACCCTTGTTTTAGTATTGTACCCATTATAAAAATATTTTTGCACCATCTCCTCTGTAGCTATATATAGAGCCTATGTTTCAGTCTTTATATCATGACTGATTTTTAGATCCAGTCAGCCACAGCATTTGGAATCAATTGTAATGATTAAGGGTTTTCATCAAGGTGGGTAACACTTGTTTTGATTAAAACAAAATGAAACTATAAACTCAAATTTTCCTTTGTGCCTAATAAATTGATTCTAACGATAGATCCGAAAAAGCCCCCAAAAACATTTTTTTTGAAATAATTTGCATAGTCTCAAGGAATTTCATGAAATTGTATAATTACTTTAAATTCTTTAGGATAATGACTGGAACTTTTTTTTGAGACAGAGTCTTGCTCTGTCGCCCAGGCTGGAATACAGTTGCACGATCTTGGCTTATTGCAACCTCTGCCTCCTGGGTACAAGCAGTTCCCTGCCTTAGCCTCCCAAGTAGCTGGGATTACAGGCTCCTGCCACCGTGCCTGGCTAATTTTTGTATTTTTCATAGTGACGGGGTTTCACCATCTTAGCCAGGCTGGTCTTGAACTCCTGACCTCGTGTTCTGCCCACCTCGGCCTCCCAAAGTGCTGGGGTTACAGGTGTGAGCCACCATGCCTGGCCAATAACTGGAAATTTTAAAAGTATAAAACAAAACCTGTTAAGGTAATTCTTTAAGCTTTTTAAAATTCATTTTTAATTTTTACTTGACATATAATGATTATATATATTTATAGGGTACAGTGTAATGTTTCAAGGTAATTACCATATCTATTAACTTTAAACGTTTTTCATTTCTTTGTGGTTACAATATTCAAACTCTTTGCTCTCCTGAAATACCACTGCATTGTTATTTGCTGTATTCACCCAAGTGTATGATAGAACATCAGAACTTACTCTTCCTAACTGTAACTTTGTACTCGTTGACCAATCTCTTCCTGTCCCCTATCCCCACTATCTTCCCCAACCTCTGGTAACCATTACTGTACTCTCTACTTCTATGAAGTCAACTTTTTTAGGTTCCACATATGATATGAGTGGGATCAAGTGGTGTTCATCTCTCTGTGCCTGGCTTCCTTCACTTAATATGATGTCCTCCAGATTCATCCATGTTGCTACAAATGACAGGATTTCATTCTGTTTTATGGCTGAATGGTATTGAATTGTATGTGTATACACACACACACACACATTTACTTTATCTGTTCTTCTGTACATGGGCATTTAGGTTGATTTCATATCTTGGCTATTGTAAATAGCACTGCAATAAACATGGGAGCGCGGCTGTTTCTTTGACATACTGATATCATTTCCTTGCATATATACCCAGTAATGGTATTGCTGGATCAAATGATAGGTTTTGGTTTTTTGAGGAACCCCCACACTATTTTCCATAATGGCCATACTGATTTACATTCCCACCAACAGTGTGTAAGATTTCTTGTTTCTCTGCATTTTTGCTGCATTTGTTGTTTTTTTTCTTTCTGGAAATAGCCATTCTAGTTGGGGAGAGGTGATATTGTGGTTTTCATTTGTGTTTCCCTGGTGATTAGCAATGTTGATTTTTTTCATATATTCATTGCCATTTGTCTGTGTTCTTTTGAGAAATGTTTATTTAGGTTTTTCGCCCATTTTTAAGTCAGATTTGTTGTTGCTGTTGTTTAATTTTTTGAGTTTCTTATATATTCTGGATATTAGCTTCTTGCCAGATGCATAGTTTGCAAATACTTCCCATTCTTTAGGTTATTTCTTATATTTAAATCCTAAAGTCTCCACCAAAAAATTGTAGAACTGTATAAATATTAAATGAGTTTAGTAAAGTTGCAGGAGACAATATCCACATACAAAAATCAGTAGTGTTTTCATACACTTAACAACAAATTATATGAAAAAGAAATGAAGAAAGCAATTTCATTTACAGTAACTACAAAAATGATAAAATACCTAGGAATAAGCCTAGGGGGTAAAAGATCTCTGCCATGAAAATTATAAAACATTGATGAAAAATTGAAAAGGACACAAATAAGTGGGCAGATAATCCTGTGTTCATGGATTAGAAGAATTAATGTTGTTAAAATGTCCATAGTACCCAAAGCAATCTATAGAGTCCATGCAATCATATTAAAATATCAGTGACATTCTGCACAGACATAGAAAAAAATCTTAAAATTCATATGGAAATGCAAAAGAACCTGGATAGTCAAAGCAATCTTGAGCAAAAAGAAGAAAGCTGGAGGCATTATGCACTAGCTGACTTCAAAATATGCTACAAAACAGCACGGTACTGGTGTAAAAACATGTAGATCAATGGAACAGACTAGAGAACCTGGAAATAAATTCATGCATTTACACCCAACTGATTTTCAACAAAGGCACCAAGAACACACATTGGGGAAAAGACAGTGTCTTTAGTAAGTGGTGTTGGAAAGACTAGGTAGCTACGTACAGAAGAGTGAAACTAGACCCTTGTCTCTCCCCATATATAAACATAAACTCTAAATGGATTAAAGAGTACAATATACAACCCCAAATTTTATAACTACCAGAAAAAATATAGGAGAATTGTCTCACGAAATTGGACTGGGCAAAGACTTTTTAAATAAGACTTCAAAAGCACGGGCAACAAAGCAAAAATAAGATGAATATTAAGGCAACTTTCAGATATCAGTAATAGGATGATTAACAACATACTTAAATCTGTGTAGACTCAATTGGGTGATTTATCATTTGACATAAACAGAACTTTGCTGCCACCTGGAGGATTTTCCCTTGCAAGTGTCTTTATTCAGGAGGAGCATTCAACTTTGAATTTAAAACCTTCCATCCCAAAGGTGCAAATAAAACAGAGATGGGAGATGCATTGTGTCGTCTATACAAATAGTGTTTATGTTTTTTTATTCTTATTTGAGTTTTGTTTAATTGTGGAATACTACTCTCCTCTGATAATTACTAGTGAAATATTTTTATAATTTTATTTATTTGTTTTCAGTTCTGAGATACAGAAAGCAGGAATGTTGAGTTTCTTTCTGTCCAAGTAGTTCCTGTTTCTAACTGGGCTGTACGAATGATACTGATTCTGCTCAGTCTCTTAGGTCCTTGAGTGTGCCTTTTTCTAACTCTCAGCTAGTTTAGGTAGGCTGCATTCAGAAAATATAATTTAAAAGGTTTTTTTATTACTGTGTTTTGTAGAAAAAGTGGAGAAGACCAAAGTGGATAAGTGATTTTAGCATAATTAATAAAGCTTTTCTCTTTCTAACATAAAATAAACTAATAGATTTGATGTTTGATATGTACTTCATGTGAAAACTTTAAAGGCTTAGGAATTGTTTTAGTGACTGAAAAGAAATTGGTTATAAATAGGTACATATTTCTCTCTTGTAAAAGCAGTCTAGCAAATTGCAAGGTGAACTATTGAAGTACTTGTAAGCAGCTGCAAATTTGTAGTGCAGGGACCATGTATGGACTTATTTTTTCTTTTGCATAATGATCAACTCCATTTATTATTTGCAGATATCTGAAATAGAACAATATTAGCTAATTTTATCACCTATGTGTCTGGTAAAATTCTAATATTTGAGGCAGAAACAAGATTTTTGAAAATGTTGAGAATTTTTTATACCTTTGTTTTTAAAAGTTATGTCTGAGATAGAATTCATTTTAAAGCTATGTAACTGCATAGAGTGCTTGATTTTGTTATTTGTTTTGAAAATTACAGCCAAAAATTAGAAATAAGAGCACAAGTTGCAGATGCCTTCTTATCCAAGTTCCAACTGACTTCTGATGAAATGATTCTTCTCCGAGGTACAAGAGAAGGACCCATTACTGAGGTATCCCAGCTTTCTGTTATAATCATTTAAAGTTTAATAGTTACAGATATTAGAGAGAAGTTGCTTTTTTGAAGCTTTATTTCCCACTTAAAAAAGTTTCATCTGAAAATATTTTTGTGTTTGGAAATTTAAAATGTGTATTTTAATTTTAAATTTTAGTTTTCAAAGTTATGTACTTTTTAAAAAGTCAATAAAGCTTATTTAAAAATCTGTGTCACCTCTTTTACTCTTCCTTACTTCTAGGTCTTTTGTCAACCATTTTCAATGTTATTAATTGCTTCTTTTGTAAATTCTATATTCTGGGTCTATAGTAAAAAATAATATGCTTTGATTATCTATGTTAACTATTTTCTATTGATTTGCTATCATGAAGTGTGAGGATTTAGCTTTCTACCCACTCTGTGTCCTCCCCCAACACAGACAGTACACACATAAGTTCTCTTTATCTCCTTAATATGTCATAGTACAGTTAGAACATATTTTCTATTTTCTTTTTCTTTCTTTTTTTTTTTTTTTTTTTTTTTGAGACAGGGTCTGGCTGCGTAGCCCAGGCTGATGTGCAGTAGCATGAACACAGCTCACTGCAACCTCAACCTTCTGGGCTTAAGCGATCCTCCCACCTCAGCCTCCTAGGTAGCTAGGATGACAGGCATGCACCACCACTCCTGATTTTTTTTTTTTTTTTGAGATGGAGTCTTGGTCTGTCGCCAGGCTGGAGCACAGTGGTACAGTCTCGGCTCACTGCAACCTTCACCTCCTAGGTTCAAGCAATACTTCCATCTCAGCCTCCCAAGTAGCTGGGACTACAGGTGCGTGCCAAATGCCTGGCTAATTTTTTTTTGTATTTTTAGTAGAGACAGGTTTCACCTTGTTGGCCAGGATGGTCTCGATCTCTTGACCTCATGATCCACCCTCCTTAGCCTCCCAAAGTGCTGAGATTACAGGCATGAGCCACCGCGCCCACCCACTCCTGATTTTTTAATTTTTTTATTTTTAGTAGAGACAGGGTCTCACTGTGTTGCCCGGGCTGGTCTTAAACTCCTGAGTTCAAGTGATCTGCCTACCTTGGCCTCCCAAAGTGCTTGGACTATAGGTCTGAGCCAAAGAACCTAGCCATACATTTTCCATTTTCGTTACAATGATTGCATGTTCATTCTTTTTTTTTTTTTTTTGAGACGGAGTTTTGCTCTTGTTACCCAGGCTAGAGTGAAATGGCGCGATCTCAGCTCACCGCAACCTCTGCCTCCTGGGTTCAGGCAATTCTCCTGCCTCAGCCTCCCGAGTAGCTGGGATTACAGGCATGCGCCACCATGCCCAGCTAATTTTTGTATTTTTAGTAGAGACGGGGTTTCACCATGTTGACCAGGATGGTCTCGATTTCTTAACCTCGTGATCCACCCGCCTCGGCCTCCGAAAGTGCTGGGATTACAGGTGTGAGTCACCGCCACCCGGTGCGTTCTTTTATAATTATGTATCTTTCCTTGAATTAGAAATTGCTTATTTTTTAAATCTAATTTTTAAAACTACACCATTCTTTTCAAACTGACAGAATTATGAAACCTCTCAAAATATTAAATAACAAGGAAAAGTTTCATTCCTTTTTTTTTTCCTTTAAGATGTTCCGTTTTTCCAGAAAGGAATCTTTTGGTCTCCTAGCTGGGAAGAACTGTAAACAAGCGTATTGTCATCATTCTGGGATCGGGGGCAAGCAGGGTTCTTGAGGTGGGGAAGGGTTCTCACTGAGCATCTCTTAGTGGGTATTACTTTCACTGGCGTGGCTAAAATGGAACCACTCATTTGTGTGTAGAAAGGTCAATAGGTGAGAGAAGTAATAGACATATTACTTATTAGTATTTGCTGCCCTTGTGTTTTGAGGAACTTGGTGCAATTGAAATATTTGACATATCATTTTTCCTCCCCTTGATAGAAATTGCAAAAGGAAGGTTGTTATTATTAGTTTTATTAATCAAAGAAAAATAACACATTCATTATTTTCATGGGCGGAACACTATTTGTGGCACTCTGAAACCTGAGCCTCCAGTACATTTAAATGTCAGGCAACAGTTTGGCCTCTGTCACCTCCTATGTATTCAACTTTGCATTCTACTCTTGGATAAGGGAGCAAGAATGAATATGCAGCAGATATATAAAGCATCATCTTCAGCAATAAGAATGCCAGGTTTAAGTAATAAGATGTGTAATACTTAGTATGTTTTTTTAATGTAATAATTTTTAGTTTTGCATTTCTCTCTCACTAAACTACATACAATTCTTGAGGGCATATTTTTATCTTTATAAATTTTGTATTCCTGGCAACCGTCAACACTATTTGACACATAGTAGGCACTGGATTAGTATATTAATATGTCTTAAAATGTGAATAAATACCTGTTACAACTTCTATAAAAATTTAGAGGAAGTTAAGATCAGTATAGGAAGGCTTCATTAGAATAGGTGAAATAGTTTGTTTGCCCTTGGTAGTGACCTTTCAGTTTTAAATAATGTAATTTTACCTGAAGCATGGACATAAAGTCACATTCTTAATTTTAAAGGATTTTTTCAAGGCACTGGGAAGAGTAAAACAGATTCATAACGATGTCAAAGTTCTCTTGCGTACAAATCAACAAACGGCAGGGTGAGTAACCGCTCATTGACCTAACTGCACTGCTGCTTACGTTTCCAAAATATTAAACATATTCTAGAGTGTTGGTGGAACCGTATAACATTTTGTGAAATAGGAGTTTAATCTTTATCTGTCTTTAGAGAATGGCGAAGTTATACCCTGACAGGTGTAGGTTAAAACAGCAGTTGATAAGTAAGTGTGGTTAAAATGTGACATTTAATTGTAGAAAATTATGGAAAAATCATTTCATAAAATGATAAAAAGTTAATATGCTTATGTAATATGCCAACAAAATAATTCGGTACTTAAATGTAGGTACTGACTAAAATTTAAATTAAAATAAATATTTAATTTTTTTTAGTTTAGAAATTATGGAACAGATGGCCTTACTTCAAGAAACGTCCTATGAAAGACTTTACCGATGGGCTCAAAGTGAGTGATTTCCTTCATGTTGTCCAGATTCGTGAACGTTTGTGTTTGATTTATAAAATTGTACTTGGGCTTTATTTGATGTATTTTGATTTTAGTAATCAAACGTATGTTTTAAAAGAAAAATAATGTTTGTATTTGATTTTTAAATTTTTACTTGGTCTTTATTTGATATATTTTGATTTTAGTAACCAAAAGTATTTTTAAAATAATATTTGTATTTGATTTTTAAAATTTTACTTGATCTTTGATATATTTTGATTTTAGTAATCAAAAATATTTTAAAATAGAAAAACTTTACATTTGAACATACTGTTTTTGTGTTTGTATCATGAGCAGCTGCTGTCAGCCAAGTGGTATGCTTGATTAAGGATAAAAATAAAAAAATGCAGACAATATTTCTGCCCTAGATTATCTTAAAGCAGATTAGGAATCTCTTGTTTACATAACTGTAAAGTTATAAGTGGTCAATTAATTTTCTGCTGTTGCTGTAGAAAATTTTTACAAGCAGAATGGCTTAAAACAACACGTATTTATTGTCTTACACCTCTGTAGGTCAGAAATCAGACGTTGTTCTCACTATGCTAAAATCTAAATGTTGACAGACTTGCATTTGTTTCTGTAGGCTCAAGAGAGAATTTGTTTTCTTGCTCATTCACTTGGCAGAATTCAGTTCCTTGTGTTCATAGGATTGAGGTCTGTGTTTTTTGCTGGCTGTCACTGAGGGTTTTTCCTAGTTTCTAGATGCTGCCTGCATTCTTTGGCTTGCAGCCCCTTCCTCCTCCTTCCAAGCTGGCAATGTGAGGTCAAGTCGTTTTTTCATGTTTGAATCTCTCTTGCCTCTTCTTGTCTCCATCTCATATCTCTGACTAACTTTTCTGCCAGCCTCTTCCATTGTGAGGCCTGTGTGATTACCTTGGACCCACTTGGGTAATCTGAGAAAATCTCTCCATTTTAAGGTCTACTACCTTAATTTTATCTACAAAGTCCCTTTTGCCATGTAAGGTGACATATTCACAGATTCCAGGGATTAGTGTGTGGCCCTCTTTGGAGGGCCGTTATTTTGCCTATCAGGAACATTTTATTTTCTTTAGTTTCATTTGAAAATGTTTCAATAGATGTTTTGCAAAATAGCCTGTTAAAACGAGAGAAGATATTTAAAACAAGCAAGCATGGAACAGGAGCACGTATTTTAATAGGTGTTACTAACCAACTGTTCCAAGGGGTCGGAATTTAGTTAACCAATTACTCCTGTACTGTACTGTGCAGACAGAATTCTCTGGTCTGGTTGGTTAAATCTTTACCTCTAATACCTGTTTGTTTTTCTACCTCTCTCCTTTACATTGTTTGCTTCCATCTGCAGTGTTATCTGCCTTTCTCTTATTGTATCTCATCGTATTTTTTTCATGTATGTCTTATCTCACAAGTTAGTTTTCTACGTTTTCAAAGGCAAGGACATTGACTCAGATTTCTTTCTGCTCCCACAACACCTTACATAGTGATTCCCTGTTGTGGGCTTCTGTCTCCTGGAGACTATGAAGTCATTTTAAGATGTCTTCAATTCTATGTATGCATATGGTTTTTTTTTTTAGTCAGTGCATGCTAGAAAGTATACTGCTAGTATAAAGTCCTTGTGTACCAAAGACTGGGAATTTCTGATAAGCTCTAAATTCTCTGAATGTACTAGGCACTGGTGAGCATTTTATAGATAACATTAGACCAATAAAATAAAGTTGGTGTAGAGATTTTTAAGAGTTTAAAATTCAAACTGTTTTGAAATTATAGTTTTATTACTGTATATTAGTTAACCACATTAACATTTTTAGCAAACTGCTTAAAGTTTGTGTCCCAGGGAAGGAACTGATAATATGTTTTAGTGCTTCTCCCTGCCTCCCTAATACTGTCATGTATATGGCAGTTATTAGAAGATATTTGTTTATTGATTGGTTTTTTCAGGACTCTAGTTTTTATTATAGTAAAACACAGCCTTGGGGAATACCTGATAGCATATGTGGTCATTTAAAGGTACATACTACTTAAGCTTAACTCTTTAGTTTGGTTGACAGCATAAATTTGTTTTAGATTGGTGTATTCTCTAGGTTTTTCTGAGGATTTTTTTCTTAGGGTATTTGCTATAGAATTTAGACTCCGGGAATACAACAGACATAATAAACACCTAAGCTGAATTTAACAAAAGTTATAATGTTGATTATTTTTCAGGTGAATGTAGAGCATTGACACAAGAATCATGTGACGTATCTGCAGTATTGACACAGGCAATGGAAGCCCTGCAGGACAGACCTGTCTTATATAAGTTGGTGACTTTTTCTTAATTAAAAAAGAAGGCCTATTTTTCTTTTGATAACTTACTTTAAATTTCAGTATTATCAAAAGCATATATAATAGTTTGAGTAATATTTACAATAATTTACAACAATATTGTTTACCTTAACTTGAATTTGTTTCATGGGGTATCAGCTTATTTGAATATTCCATACTATAGAATACAAAATGGAAAGAAAAAACAAAGTCTCTGTATCTAGAGTACCTCTTATTTATATAGAGGTTCAGTGTTTTTTCCCCTGTCATCTCATTAACCCCTTGGAATTGTAAGTAACTAAAACTCCGGTATTAATCCTTCCCTACAGAGATTGAAGTCATATCAGGACTGAGAAATATGGTTATGCAGAGTTGGAAAAAGAATATTTAATATCAAGGTTTTATTAATAGGATTTAGGAAGACAGGACTCAGGTCTTTGATCTGGTAATTTATGCCAACCAAGAGCTGTGTGGTAATGCTTTGGATAAGAATTTAATGCGTTTTGGCCGGGCGCGGTGGCTCAAGCCTGTAATCCCAGCACTTTGGGAGGCCGAGGCAGGTGGATCACGAGGTCAACAGATCGAGACCATCCTGGTCAACATGGTGAAACCCCGTCTCTACTAAAAATTACAAAAAATTAGCTGGGCATGGTGGCGCGTGCCTGTAATCCCAGCTACTCAGGAGGCTGAGGCAGGAGAATTGCCTGAACCCAGGGGTCGGAGGTTGCGGTGAGCCGAGATCGCGCCATTGCACTCCAGCCTGGGTAACAAGAGCGAAACTCCGTCTCAAAAAAAAAAAAAAAAAAAGAATTTAATGCGTTTTAAATTTATTGATGTTTGTATTACTTTATATTTTAATCTTATTGTCTTAATTTTTATAAAATAAAAGGTAAATATTTAATGCCTGGAGTAGTATGAGCATAAACTTTTGGTAGATGTAGGAATTGTTGATGATACTAATAATTCTGAAAACAAGAAACCAGGAGACTCTTACCAAGGTAGTGCATCTTGCTCTGAATCATCCCTATCAGATGCTCCTTATACTATTTTTAGAGGACATCCTCATTACTTTCTGATTGGAATGCTGCTTATCCTGTCATAAGCACAAATGAACACAAACGCTGAACAGCTGTGTAAAATAACAACACTGCAGTGCTATTTACTGAGTACAGTGTGTTAAGCACCATTCTCAGTTCTAGAAACACAACCTCAGTAAAGCACTGCCCTCAAACTGCTTTATTTTATGGAACCAGAGATAGACAAATGCATTTTAATCGAATATACTAATTGCTAGTCTCGAAGTCATGCCCTAGATGCTATGTGGCTCAAGCATTCTGGGATAGGGGAAAGAGATGAACATCCGTGAAAGTTTCCTTAGGAATTAGGTATAAAGTGAGTTCTGAAGACTGAATAGGCATTTTCCTAGAAGAAAAAGAACAGTTTCCAGTTTGAAGGAACAGTAATGCTAAGGTGTACATTGAGAGAACATGCACCTTTGGGAAATTCATTGCAAAAGCTTGCACTGGGCTGTAGAATTACAGGCAACAGCTAGATCATACTAGCCCTGAATGTTATGTGTATACATGTGGTAAGTTAATCTTTATTATTGATCAGCAGCTTAGCAGTTTATTCCTGCTTTGAAATTTCTTTCCCAAGTTTTTCACTTCAACATATTGGCAGTGATTTTGAGTCTTTTAGCACTTAAGACATATGGTGTTTGATTTTAACAAGTGTTGCATTGTCTAGGATTAATATTTATTCATAAGATTAATCTTAAAAAAAAAAAAACCTTAGTGTGTTTTGGGCACCTGAAAACAGCAGTTGACTTCTGCCATGCAAATGCATTTTCACTGAGTCTTAGAGTTCTTTATCAGAACCTGGAAACGAGCAATATTAAATGGCTTCTGACGTGGGCTCTTGAGTCAGATTTCTTTGGCAAGTCCTTGCACCTTTATAAGCTTCAGTTTCCTGAGCTGTAAAGTAAGGATAACAATAGTACCTATTTTACAGGGTCGATGTGAAGATTCAGTTAGATTGTTCACTTAAGGTACTTGCTGTAATACTTGGTACATCCTGGGTTTTACACATTATTTTTGTTTTGAGGGGAGTTGACTAGAAAGCTGTCAATTAAGGAGGGATGTTTTTGAAGGCTACATGGCAATCAGGGAAAAGCTTGAAAGATCAGGAATGGAACTACAATAGAAAGGCATAGAAGGTTTATCTGTGAAGGGCAGATGCTAAGGAGCAGGGTGCAGTAATGGCGATTTGGAAGATTTTTAAAGGCATTTAGATAGAAGCTAAGCGGGGAAGTAAGTTTTTAAGGCCAGATGATTAGGTCAAAATGAATACTAAAAAGGAGAAAATTGTCCTTTCATTAAGTAATTATTTTCCAAGTGGTAGTTTCCTTATATTTAATGAAATCTTAATAATGTATCATGGTAACCACCAGATGGCACTATATGAACTTAATAAGTAATGCATAAAAGCTTCACTGTCCATTATTGTGTCTCAAATAATTAAGTATTATATGCAAGAAAAATATCAATTATTGAAGTGCCTGGGGAAAGTTGCCATACTCAGTGTTTCTTATATAGTATATAACTGGAATGCTAATGCATTATTGACTTGTAATAATAAATCAAGTACAATTATAAATGGAAGTGAAAAAATTGGATAATTTCTTCTTTCCTTTGGTAAGCCTTCAGAATATGGTATTTTAAAAAGTAGTAATATGTACAGTGCTGATGTTTCTTCTTTATGCATTTGTTGTATTTCAAAGAGGCACTTCTATATTATTATCTTTCAATTTGTTTTTTGATCAAAATTTTTCTTTTAATTTGCTTTTGACCAGAATTTTTTAAACTGTAGCTAAGCACAATTTTTAAAATGAGATTTCAAATTTTAACTAGAGGTATTTGAGATATTTACATAATTCGAACATTCACTCTCGAAAAGTTCCATTTTGAATCTTGATTATTGTTGGAAGAATGTCTGATTTTGGTCTTTGTCTCTGGAAACGATGTTTCATGTCTAAAGATATTGAAGTTTCATGAGGCTTATGCTGGTTTTGCTTTATATTTGTTCTATAGGAGGACTGACATTAATATTAATGTCTATTGATATTTTATGGTATTAAACAGATTAAATTCCAGTGTTTGTCAGGCTTGGTAATTTACCCCCTATTTAAAATCCCAGTAGATTCACGAGATTTTGTTACAACTGTGGTCCCAGTGAACAGTGCTAGAAACAAACTATGCTGTTTATTTTTACTGTGGTTAGTAGGGTCTTGGGAATGAGAATTAGTTTTACATATTTAAAAAGTTAAACATTGGTGAATTTTGTGCTGTGATAAGGAGTCGTAAGTTCATTATTTCAGAGAATCAGGTGATCATTTAAAAGAAGGCATTCTTCATACTAAATGATTTATAATTTGAAAACATGAGGGAAAACATAGCAATGAGTATTTTCGTTCTAATTTGTTTAAAAACTAGAAATTAAATGCCAGGCAATTATGCAATTTAGCAAGACTTAGCTGGATATTGGGCTTTCCCTTTTCTGTACGAGTATGTCACCGCAGGGAATCTCAAAACCTTTTTTTTTTAACTGAAACACACAAAGAACCATAGTCTGGTTAATAGTAAACAGTCCTCGAAAAAGATTCATATTCCTAAATATTTATAACTGTTCAGCAATACTCTAGACTTTCTCTTCGATTTGGAAATAATCTGTCTTTCACATGCTTACAAAAATGTGGATTTTTTAATCCAAGTAACAGCATATGAAAGAAAGCTGTGTAGCCTAAGATATGAATTATTTGGGGTATCCTGGGAAGTTTTGGTAATTTTTGTTTAGATTATTTATATCATTCTTAAAATTTAGTCTGGTAGAATACTTATAAAGATTTAGAAGTTAATGAGTCTAGAATCTGCTGACATCAGACTGCTAAAATGTATTTTGTTTGTCTTTATAATTTTAAAATTGAAAGAACTTTCAATTGAGGAGTGGATGTCAGGAATGGGTGATAATGGGAAATAAGTCTTAGTCGAGTCAAACAAATGGGCACTGTAGACAGCTCCAGGCTATTTTTATAAACTGAATCCCACATTTCCTATTCCCAAGTTAAAACTTTCCTTCCCTACTAGTTCCTTTACGTTAGAAAGCCTTTCCAACCTTTTCAATTATAGTAGGTGACTTCTTAATACATGTTTTTTAAAAAGGTATTTGCTTTTGTGTGTGATTGGTCAGTAAATTTAAGGAATATCTATCATGTCTAATACTGGAGTCAAAAGAAGCTTTTAAAAATGGATAGCAATTTTGGAGCAAATTTTGGTGATAAATTGTAATAGTATGTGTAAAGAACACTTTTTTAATGTAAGAAAAAATTTTTAATTTTTTGATTGCAAAAGTTCTTTTATTTTTTCTGAGGCAGGGTCTTGCTCTGTGGCTCAGGCTGGAGTACAGTGGGGCAGTCACTGCTGACTGTAGCCTGAACCCCACAGGCTCAACTGATCCCCCTTTCTTAGCCTCCGAGTAGCTGGGACTACAGGCATGTGGTACCACGTCTGGCTAATTTTATTTTATTTTTAATAATGAGATTCACATTATTTTGCCCAGGCTGGTCTCAGACTCCTGGGCTCAAGTGACCACCTGCCTCAGCCTCCCAAAGTACTGGGATTACAGGTGTGAACCGCTGTCCCCAGCCTTGGATTGCAGAGTTCTAATTATAATCAGTTTTTGAGAACTGTTACTGTAACAGTACAGCCTCATATTTTTAGACTGCAAATATATATATTAAAATATGCTGAAACCTAATATACTGAATATACTGAAACCTAAAAAGTTAAGTCTTCCCACGTTGACTTGATTTTCCTAATTTTGCTAAATCCATTGCTTTATCGCTGATTACTGCTGCCCCTGCATTAGTCCCAAATCCCAGCATTGTTTTTAGGAGGAGTAAACGATTTTACTTTCTGACTGAATTTTCAATGTGCCGAAGTTATCTTTTAAATGTTTTTTTCTTCTTTGAAAGCAATGTTGCTTGACAGAGTGCCTAAAGGAACTTTAGGTACTCGCTTGTCTCGAAATTTCATGAATAGTCTGATATAGCCACTAGAAACAAAGAACCCCAACCATTTTTTATATAACTTGTTTCTTCTAGGTATACCTTAGATGAATTTGGAACAGCCAGGAGAAGTACAGTAGTGCGTGGATTTATTGATGCGCTCACGAGAGGGGGCCCTGGAGGTACACCCAGGCCAATTGAAATGCACTCTCATGACCCTTTGAGGTATAGTAATCAAACAGCAGAAGATTTGAGGTTTTTTTCCAAAGGAAATCTTTTTTAACATTTAGTTTTCATTAGGTATGTGGGAGATATGTTGGCTTGGCTCCATCAAGCTACTGCTTCTGAAAAGGAACACCTCGAAGCTCTCTTAAAGCATGTCACTGCACAAGGTGGGTCCACCGACTGTATTGCTAATGACTAAATACAGAAAATAACACAAGCATCTCTGTTCCTGTTCTTGTTGCCATCTTCTTCACTTACCTAAACACCTCGATGGTACAATAAGCATCCCGATTACTCTTCTCTTTTCTAGGTTCTCCCTCATTCTGTTAATAGACTTTCTCTTCCATCACCTTTGTCCTCTCACTCAACTGTTCAGTTTTATAGTGAACCCTAATGACCTTTCATGTCCAGCTTAGACTCCTCTGTGGCACTTTTATGAAATTTCTGGAATACCTAGCATACATTATCTCAAATCTTCTGCGTGACACTTTAAGGTACAAGGTGGTATTATCTTAATTTTATCTGTGAGTAAACAGACTGAGTTAGTTGTTTAGGGTCATTAGCTACTGATTCTTTCATTTCTGCTACCCAGCCTCTTTTTTCATTCTCATGGCATTGTTTTAAAATTTTACAACAGTTATTTTATCTGTTAGTATGTTTTTGAATTGCCGTAAAGGAATACCTGAAGCTTGGTAATCTATAAAGAGGTTTAATTTGACTCACAGTTCTGCAGGCAGTATAAGAAGCGTGGTGCCAACATCTGCTTCTGGTGAAGGCTTCAGGAAGCATAGAGTCATGGTGGAAGGGAAAGGGGAAGAACTAGCATGTCACATTATGATTGAGGGAGCAAGACAGAGAGATGAGGATGTGCCACACACGTTTAGGCAACACTATCATGAGAGACAGCACCAAGCCATTCATGAGAGATTCACTCCTGTGACCCAAACATCTCCCACCAGGCCCCAACTCCAACATTGGGAATTATATTTCAACACGAAATTAGGAGGAGACAGACATCCAAACTACGTCACCATATGTACTAAATGTACTTAAAATTTTTGTCTTGATGTCAAGGAAGACAAATAAGTGTAGTTGAGAGTTGGCGATGTCTTGTTTACAGAATTCCTGATCTTCTTAGTTGTGATTCCCTAAAGACGCCTGTTTTAGAGTTTGAGAGTTTAGTGTATGATTAAAATATGTTCTGTTTTTGATAGGAAGTTAAGAGACACTGTGGCCTGGTGTCACTTGACTGTTTTACATAGCTCAGCCACACATCTCTGTGGTCCACATTATCACAAGAGGAGTCAGTGTTACAAATTGGTATTAATACTAACCTGAGAGCTTCTAACTTCAGTATCAAGTTCAGACTCAGCATATATGTTAGATTGGCACAAAGTGTGCATTGTTAGTTTCTCTTTCTGTTATTATTCTCATTCTCCAGTTTAAATGAAAGTGTTTCTTTAAAGATGTTTTAGGAAAGTATATATAAGACAGTATTAAGAGGTGGAAAAAAATAGATTGTAGTTAGATGAAGTAGGTTATTCTACACAAATGACTTTAATCTTCTGCACCTCAGTTTTTCCATCTGTAAACATGAAGATGGTTACAAGCATTAAAGGTCAAATACCCAGTACAGAGCTTGATAAATAGTTGGTATTTAGAAAATACCCGTTTTTCTATTAGACTTCAGGGTGTGTTTTTCATCTTTAAAGCCTCAGTGTATGTGCTGAGCAGCACTAATTGGAATAAGATGTTTGTAAAACAAATGCTAGTACATTTTGGCATCATGTCATTCAATTAATACATTTCACACATTTTTTTCCTCCCTCTCTCTCATAAATTTAATCTTTTCCACAAAGAAATAACATTCATTTTAGTAACTCAAAGTCAAATGAATTAACAAGGCTTTCTGGAAACATTATCACATTTAGTAATATGTTAACACAATTAGTGATGGCCCAAAAGATATCGAACTTGCTAAAATATAGTTATGGTTAATTTGAAAGTTATTAGTGCTATTAATTATATGTATTACATATTATTTGTTAGCTTTTTGAACTTACATGAAGCAAGGTATAATATGGAAACAAATATTCATTAAAGTATTAATTTTAGGTGTTGAAGAGAATGTTCAGGAAGTTGTTGGGCATATCACTGAAGGTGTGTGCAGGCCTCTAAAGGTAAAACGCTTCGTTTTTACATATGCTATATGGCACCTGGTCAAATTATTACTTTATTTACAGGAACTTAAGAAACTGATACCAGCTCAAACACAATCTGTACTTTTTTCAGATTCGCACAGTAATGTAGGCTAATCTGAAACATTTTAAAATAATAATTGCCAGTTTTCTCTCTGAGAAAGAAAATTGGAAATATTCATAGTTTTCATATATTGACTTATTTTTTACAGATTTTGTTTCTTGTAGTAATTTTTCTTACTCAGTTGAGAAAAAAAATCTGTTAAATTTAAACAGTGAATCTATGAATTCTTAACAGAAGTTTAGTAGTAAGAATATTTTGTTTACTTGATTGCTTCAAGCGTAGTAGATTTTTTGCTTATCATAGCAATAAATAACTATGAATTCAATGATAAAATATATATTGCGATTATCATCATATAGTACAAGGAACAGAATTTGGAATCAGATTTGGGTTAGACTTCCCATGTTGCCACTTAATTGTGTTTACTTATTCCATTTGCTTAACTCTTCTACATCTGAATTATGCCCCCATGGAGCCTGTGTATTAAAACAGCCATCATCCAGGGTTGTTGTGAAGATAACTAGGTAGATGAAGTACATAGTTTATGACACTTACTAAGAATTTAGCAGGTGGTAAATACCTTTATTTTCCTGTATTGATATTTATAGAATACTTTGCCAATTGTTGGTTTACTTTTCCTTGTTGATTTACTTCAATTTCGTACAGAGAAATTGAAATCCTGAAGTTTAATAATTTTTATCAAGAACTGAACTTTAAAATAAATTTTATTTCTAAGGTTTTTTGGGGTTATGTGTTCCAGAGAGGGAAATCTCAGATGACACAGTTTGTGACAATTGATCATATTGACACATTTAACTATTACTCTAACTTGATCTCATAGGACCTAATTATACATTCAGTAAATAAATGGCAATGTATTTTGAAATGATTTTACTTATTTCTCCCAAATGAAATATTTACTTGTCATAGTTTGTTGTAGACATATATAACTTACATAAATGTTGCTTATTTTGTATACTGGCAGTTACTGGAAAAACAGAAGAAGAGGAGGAATAAAATGAGATTTATTTTGCTATGCTTTTAGACTTTTTTATAACTTCATATAGTTTAATAAAACTCCTAGTCACTTTGTAAATAAATTATACTTTATCTGCCTTACCTTTCCCTCTTCCTTGCTTATGTAACTATTTTTCTTTTTAACAGCTTTTCTTTCTTTTTTTTTGGGGGGGGAGGAAGGCAGGAAGGAAGGGAAGAAGGACGGTAGGGAGGAAGGAAGGGATGAAGGAAGGAAGGAAGGGAGGAAGCGGGGAGGGAGGGAGGGAGGGAGGGAAGGGAAGAAAGGAAATCAAGCAATGAAAGAGACATTGCCGACCTGGATCTAGAGGTTTACAAGTTGATTTCTTTTTTTTTGAGAGAAGGAAAGAAAAAAAAAAAATAAGTAAAGGAGAGGAAGAAAGAGGAAGAGAAAGAGGGAGAGTAAATGGAAATATTGCTTTATTTTGAAAAAAATTGGGTATTAATAATGGCCAATCAATGTTTCATTTAAACTAATGGGTAGGTGTGATGTGGTATTGACAAGAATGTATATTTTGTGTATTTGAAGTGGAGAGCTCTATAAATATTTATTAAGTTTACTTGTTCTGGATCTGAGTTCGAGTCCTTGATATCCTTATTAATTTTCTGTCTCATTGAATCTAAGTCTCCTATCTGGGTGTTAGGATCGTTAGCTCTTGTTGTTGCATTGATCCTTTTACCACTATATCTTTGTTGCTTTAAAATCTATTTTATCCGATACGAGAATTGCAACTCCTGCTTTTTATTTATTTATTATTTATTTTTGCTCTCCATTTGGTTGGTAAATCTTTCTCCATCCCTTTGTTTTGAGTCTTTGTGTATCCTTGCATGTGAAACAGGTCTGGATGTAACATGCCGTTGGGTTTTGGCTGTGTCTTTTGATTGGGAATTTAGTCAATTTAAATTTAGGGTTACTGCCATTTGATGTTGACTGGCTGTTTTATCCATGTGTTGGTGTAAATTCTTCTTTATGTTGGTGCTCTTTACTTTTTGGTGTATTTTTAGAAAGGCTAATACTGGTTGTTTCTTTCTGTGTGTAATGCTTCTTTCAGAAGCTCTTGTAAAGCAGGCCTGGTGGTAATAAAATCTCTGAGTTCTTGCTTGTTCATAAAAGATTTTATTTTTCCTTCAGTTGTGAAGCTTAGTTTGGCTGGATATGAAATTCTGGGCTGAAGGTTCTGTTCTTTGAGGATGTTGAATATTGGCCCCCACTCTCTTCTGGCCTGTAGAGTTTCTGCTGAGAGATCTTCTGTAAGTCTGATAGGCTTGCCTTTGTGGGTTATCCGACCTTTCTCTCTGGCTGCCCTTAGTATCCTCTCCTTTGTTTCAACCCTGGTGAATCTAACGATTATGTGCCTTGGGGTTGCTCTTCTTGAGGAATATCTTTGTGGTGTTCTCTGTATTACCTGGGGTTGAATGTTGACCTGCTTTGCTAGTTTAGGAAAATTTTCCTGAATAATATCCTGAAGGGTATTTTCCAGCTTGGATTCATTCTCTCCGTTGCATTCAGGTACACCTATCAAACGTAAATTTGGTCTTTTCACATAGTCCCACATTTCTTGGAGACTTTGCTCATTCCTTTTTATCCTTTTTTCTCTAATCTTTTCTTCACGTTTTATTTCATTAAGTTGGACTTTGACCTCTGATATCCCTTCTTCTGCTTGAACAATTCGAGTGTTTAAACCTGTGCATACTTCTCGGAGTTCCTGTATTGTATTCTTCAGTTCCATTAATTCACTCATACTCCTCTCTAAGTTGTCTATTCTCAATAGGATTTCATCAAGCCTTTTGTCAAAGTTCCTAGTTTCTTTACGTTGGGCTACAACATGTTCTTTTAACTCACCGAAGTTTGTTATTATCCATTCCTTGAAGAGTGATTCTGTCATCAGGAGGCGCTCGTTCTCCATCAAGCCTTGTTCCATTGTTGATGTGGAACTGTGATCATCTTTAGAGGGAGAGGCGTTCTGACTTTGAGTATTCTCAGCTTTTTTGCGCTGGTTTCTTCCCGTCATTGTAAATTTATCCTCCTCTCGTCTTTGAAATTACCAACTTTCAGATTAGGTCTCTTGAGTGGACGTCCAGGTTGTTAGTTCCCAGGGCCAGAGCAGCGGCGTTAAAACTGATGGTGCTTTTCCGCCCAGGATTCTCCTGTCGGGCTTCCTTCTTGTGTCCGTAGTAGGCGACTCTGCCTTCCCAGGGCTCCAAACCTCGGTCAGAAGGGGAAGCGGTCCCGTTTACTCTGCTCCGAGAGCTGCCGCGCCGAGGTGCCGGCGGAACCGCTGCGCCGACCACGAGAGTCGCGCTGGCGACCCGTGTGTTTCCACCACTGGGGGATCTTCTGCTCCGTGAGCGACCAGACTTTGTCTGAAAGTGTGGCGTCCTCTAGTTCTCCGCGCCTTCCCTGAGAGCTGCAATCCCGGGATGTTAGCGATCGGCCATCTTGGATCGTTTCCCCCTTTCTTTTTAAAACAATTTTTTAAAATTTATAATTTCTGTGAGCACATAGTAGGTATATGCTTTTCATTTTATTTTAAAAAAGTAATTGTATAAATATTATAATTTTAGAATCCTTATAATAGACTTTTCAATTTCCTGTCCTGGTTTGAATAAGAATTGTTATTACATTAAAAATGCTTAATACCAACCACTTATATAAAGACATTATATACTGAAGTCTGCCTTTGTTTCAAAATGCACTTAGAAATTCTCATTTCATCTTCCTTCAATGTGTATGCCCAGAAAGATGTTTATGGCAATTGTAGGACCTTATTATGATCCACTGACAAATTGAAATGTAAAATGCCGAAGGTAAAGAAGACACTAGTGAGCAGACAAGTATTTTTTTGTTGTAAAATGAAGAAAAATTCCTTTTCTGAAATGACAGAAAGTTCAAATCTTTCCATATGATGAAAATATGTGTTGCATACTTCAGAGAATATTTAGCAGGTGTTCACAATAGTTACATATCAAATTAACTTGATAGTGATATATAATCCAGCAACTCTTAGACCCTCCCTTCCTTATATATTGATAGACAGTGTTACACTATTTTAAGAATTTTCTTTCTGTATGACCTCATTTGGGTATATTTTCAGTGATATCGTAGTTGAGAAAAATTTCAATTTTAACATTTTATTTTGCAGTTATAATTCTAATTTTTTTTTAGTGATCAATCTGCTTTTATACCCACTCATACAAAATTTCTTCTTCCTAATTAATAAGCAACTAAATTTTTTCAGATGATATATGATATTGGATGTTATGGCTACTTTTCTGTCCATCATTCTTCTTTGTAGAAATGAATTATTTTTTAGAATGGGAGATTTTTATTTTTAGAAACATAAAGAATAGGTTATAGTGGCAATGGGAGATAATCCTTAAGAAACTATATATTTGATTTATTCTACCCTGTTTAATCTTTTCTTTGTCTTAGGAAAGTGAAACATCATAGGTAGTAGATTAAATATTTGTAAATGTATGCATTAAGATAAGATCTGTAAACTTATTTCTGGTTTGAAGAATCGGGCTCTAAGTTTAAGTTTACATATGTTGTGTAGAGGGTACCATGGCTCATCAGCATCAAGCCTATTACTCTGTACATGTCTTTACTCCAAAATTGTAGCTAGAAAAGATCAGAACTAAAATATTAAAAAATTTTTCAAGCCCATGGGTATAAAGTCCTTCTTTTATGTGAAACTAGATTGCTGAGAGATTACCAGCTCTCATTTGAACTTTCTCTTCTAATAAAAACTTCAGTGTAGTGTATGCTACAGACCTTAGATTATGGTGGGTTCTATGAAAGCAGGTATATGTAAAAGATTAATGGCAGGGAAAATAAAGCTGAATATTGTACACAAGACAGTCACTGGGCCCTCAGGTTGAGGTATACATAGCATCAGATGTCTACCCTGAGCAGCTATCTGTGATATTAAGGTAAAGGAGGTTCATCATCATCTTTTTCAGTCCTCCCTTCTTCCCATATCTCCTTCATGAACATAAACCGCCCCCCTCTCGCTTTTGCTCCTAGCTCTCTTGCCTTAGAGGAGAGCCACTCTTCTGTCTTTTAGCTCTTCCCTGCCTTCTCTGCTGTCAGGTGCCTAAAGCCCATTTTGCTACTTTTAATATCTCCGTTTGTCATTGATGCCGCCTCTCGCAATGTAGCTAGGATTTATGGAGTGCTTACGATGTACCAGGGCCTGTTCCAACACACTTTATATCTGAGCCATTATTCCCATTGCTGCTTTTCAGCTCTGCTAATGATTTTTGCCCTGTACTGTCATCACAGTGATAATTGCCAGCCAGTTGCTGCTACCTCCACTTCTTTAGTCTCTTTGACCTTTTTACTTTTTACTTTTTGTTTCTCTTGTCTTTCGTTGTTTCTCCTGTGACTGTTGGCTTTTGCTGAAAATGGTCAGCCTCTTTTATAGCCCTCGTAAGACAGAGTGTTTCTTTCTGTGTGGCAAACAAAGCATTCTTGGTGTATTGTTTGTCAATCTCCTGATTTTCCAGCCTTTCTCTGTTGTATTTTGTATTGTAGCTGTTGTATTCTGTATTGCCTCTTTCCCTCAAAACCTTTGTGTTCATGGAGAGAGATGGTAATTGTTTTTGGTTTTTCTTCCTTCCTCCTTCCCTTCCCTCTTTGCTTTTCCTTTCTTTCTTTCTCTCCCCTCTTTTCTCATTTTCTTTCTTAAGGGAGTTAGAACTAAGAATATTTTCTTGATGCCTCAAAATTATGGAAGGCAGGTGGCCAGATACCTGAGATGGCATTTAAAATCTGCTGGTAAAGAGCTGTTTGCCTACAATTAACATTTTTTTGTATTTTGCTGTGCTAATTATAGTAAAATTAAGAAAATACCACTTTTATTGATGTGTAACATATAATTTAAGTCACTGTTAAGGCCTTGATTTCAAAATAAATAATAATATGGAAAAATATATTTTTTAAGTTTAAGCACCATTCATGATCCATGGGATTGTGGTAGTCAGTAACACCTATACCAACAGATGAATCCGTTTCATAAACATATTAATGTAAATTGATTTCTGTAATATAAGAGGTTTTTGTGTGCACATATAAAATCTCATTTTAGCAAATCGCATTTGTTTTATGAGATGTGCCAAAATCTAAATACAGAGAGAGTATAACTTTTTTTTTTTTTTTTGAGACAGAGTCTTGCTCTGTCACCCAGGCTAGAGTGCAGTGGCATGATCTCCACTCACCACAACCTCTGCCTCCTGTGTTCAAGTGATTCTCCTGTCTCAGCCTCCACAGTAGCTGAGATAACGCATGTGCCACCATGCCTGGCTAATTTTTTGTATTTTCAGTAGAGACAGGGTTTCACCATATTGGCTAGGCTGGTCTCGAACTCCTGACCTTGTAATCTGCCCGCCTCAGCCTCCCAAAGTGCTAGGATTACAGTTGTGAGCCACCATGCAAAGTTCAACTTTTAAAAGCATTTATTAAACATCTTTTGTGTGTATACCATTCTACTAAATGCTACAGAGTTATAAAATAGGCAGAAGACATAATGTCTAAATTTGTGTTTAGAAACTAGGAAAGCAAGAAGATACGATGTAAGCAGTAGCTTAAGGGCAGAGACAGTATTTAAGTAAGCATTTATTAGTGTAGTTTAGATTGTATTCATTAATGAGAGAATATAAGATCAGTGAGGGATGGAATTTAATTAGCAAAGATTCATATTTGCTAAATCTTGAGGCAGATCAAGTTAATCTTGAACCAGATCTGATTTTGCCCTGGTAGTCTTATAATTTGGTAAATATGTTGGTGCTAATTCAAGATTGGTCCACTTTTCTATTTTTTGATTAATAGACAAACTTGATATAATAATTTATAGACAGGAATTTATTTTATTTTTTAATTGAATATTTGGCAATAGAGTAGTATGTTTTCACTGATAATCTGTTTTAGGGATGTAGTGGCTGCCTTTGTAATTCATTGTTAAACCAGCTTCCATTATATACTGGTGATAAATCTCAAAATGATCTCAATGTGTTGATATTTCTGGTAACGACTGCCTTGAGCCAAATTCTGCAAGTAATGTATCAGTGTTTTTTGTAGAGTATATCTATGTTAAAATGTTTGTTACTTTACCATCTTCTATGACTTACTACTCAGAAATTATTTACAGGGTGTTTTGTGATCTCTGCAATAATAAAATTTTATCTTTGTTATGTTATTATACCATATGTTATTAATGAAGAAAGATTATACTTTTAAGAAATGTTTATTTCCTCTCACATATTTTAATAGGTTCGAATTGAGCAAGTAATAGTTGCTGAACCTGGGGCAGTTTTATTGTATAAAATTTCTAATCTCCTCAAATTTTATCACCATACAATCAGGTAAGTGGAATGGCAAAATGTGATTGCTGAATCCCATGTGATATTGTTTTCGCTTAGAGTGGGGTTTAAGTTTGTTTTACATTGTGTATGGTAAGTATACAGTAAGTATAGACTAGGCATAACTAGTAGAACCACCATACCATGTAAATCATTATATGCATATTATACATGCTATGACTTGAGGTCTGTTATTTCCTTTTCCCTTTTCTCTCCAAGCTTGACCCCCCCCCACACACACAACTTATGTAACTATGTAAGTCTATAATGTAAGTCTTTATTGAGTCTTCCGCATTAAGGAAAGACCTCCAAGGCACCTAAAGTAACTGTATTACATACAACAGAGCGTAATGAATGCAGTGTTCTATTACGGATGTAAATAACCTAAATTCCATAGCATTTAGTTTACTATAAGTGATAAAATAGAACTTTAGCCTCTCTACATAACAGCAACTTTAATTAGGAACCGCTTGTCTTATATGAAATGTGATCTTTGACTACAAAATTTGCATTCATTTTTGCTTGACATATGTCTGTTGGTGGTATACCCTTGAATTTTATTAAAACTGTTACTGTAAGACTATGTTGTATGTGTAGTTATGTTAAAACAATGTCTTTCCAAGCCATATTTTTATAGTTTTTATATTTTTCCATTAAACAATTACTTCAAAATTACTTGTTATCCAGTATGTCAGTATCACGAACAGTAGGCCAACTGTTAAAAATCTAAGAAGAATATAACTAACGTTACCAGGAAAGGTTCAGGGAGCACCTACCCCTTAGTGACACAGAGTAGCCACCCAGAACTTCACAGCTAAGAAATGGATTTTACATCTTAACAGTAGATTTTCAAACAAAACTAACAAGCCATAGCCTACAAAACTGATCAGAGATAGGATTTGGATTAGTCTCTTAACATTTTAGATACAAATTTATTGTCATCATTTCCCATAATTCAAAAGCAATGAGTTAGTTTCAATTGTAATATTACAATATCTTATAATAAGAGAATGATAAATACTTAGAAAATACAAGGGCTGCCGACAGCAGCTAGACATGGCAAATACTGTTATAAAAAGATGCTGGTAAAATGATTTTTAAAATGTTTATTTAATAATGTCCAAGATGGTACTACGTGAATTTTATTATTTAAATATATTGATATCTTAGTTTCTAATGTAGAAAATGCTAGAAATAAAATAATTCTGATTCTGAAGATGATAGGTTTTTTAGGCTCTGAGAATTATAACTTTTCTATCTTTGAAGACGATGATATTAAAGATGACAATTAAAATCTCTTTCTGTTGATTTTTTTCATGTACTTTTTCTACTTGTTCACACATTTCCTCATTTAGTCAATTAAAAAGTTGACTGTATACTTGTCATTCTTCTCGGTAGTAAGGGAACAGCAACTGACAAAGCAGTTTAAACTTGCAATGTAGTAGGGGAGACAAGCAAATATAAAATAATAGTTTTAGGTGGTGATAAGGATACTAACGATAAAGCAAAAGAAAATAAATAGAAAGTGTAAGGAGTAACCACATATGCGTAGATATATGTGTGCATGTGTGACTATTTTTGAGGCTATTTGGTAGAGGCAATATTTGAATTCAGATGTGAATAATATGAAGGAGTTGGGTATGAAAAGATCTTGGAAAAGAGTGTCCTGGACAAAAATACACTCTGGTACTGCAGCTAAGGAAAAGCTTGCATTTTGGAGGACTAGAAAGAAGACCAGGAGTTGGAGTGTAGTGAATTGGAAGGAGTAAGGGGAGATGAAATCAGAAAGCTAGAGAGAGGCCAGCTCACATAGGATTCTGAAGACCATAGTGGATATTTAGGTTTTATACTGAATGAATAAGATTGGGGAAGATGGGAGGGTTTTGAGTGACCTGAGCAGATTTGTGTTATAAGGTTACTCTGGATACCCTGTAAATCAGGTACTGTAGTGAGACATAAGGGAAAATAAGGAAGATATTTATTAGGAAGCAGTTTGCGGTCCTGAGCAGAGATGATTATGAGTTAGACTAGGGTGATAGTCTTAGAAATGGTAAACAGTAGTTGATTTTGGATATAATTTATGCCACAGCCAATAGGATACATACTAGATAGAGTGAGGTGTGAGGAGTTCAGGATGAATTCTTGGCTTTTGGTTTGAACAGCTGGGTGAATGGTATTGTTTGCTGAGATGGGGAATGCTGGAAAAGAACAGGTTGATGGGATTGGTGGATAAGGTAGAGTTCCCTTCAGTTTTGGCCTTGTCAGATTTGATATATCTGTGAACATACAGTAGGAGATTTTTGAATGAGCAAATAATAGAGAAATCAGGGCTGAAGCTATAAGTTTCTTAGTTTTCAGAAAATAGATCACTTAAGAAATGAGTATAGATAAAGAATGGGGCTAAGGACTGAGTCCTGAGAAGCTCCAGTATTTAGAGGCCAAGAAGAGGAAAAACCACCAAGAAAACTGGGAAGGGATCCAGTGAAGTTGGGGAAAAAACAGGAAGCATGCAAGATCTCAAAAAGTTTACTCCCAACAAAAGGAAGATGTAGAGTCCAGGAAACAGATTCGCACACACTTGGATTACACATCCTTTCTTGTAAAACTTTTCTCCCTGGAATGAATAATTACTTTGCTTTTATACTTGTTTACTTTCCTATGCCCTTATCACTATTTTAGATCCAAGCTATTCAAGTAGACTTGACATTGCATCGTCTCACCATATAGTCCAACAAGTAATCCCCATCTCTCCTGCCTTTGTCTGATACCCTTCTTGGAAGCCTCATTCCCCTCCAATCTAGATGCGTTGCCCTATGGGCCTATTGCAAGCTGCTTGGCTGGCATTTATCTTCTTCAGAAGCCTGTTCATCAGCTTGTTTAGGTATCCCTGATTCTTTGGTCAGCTCTGAATAGTATTTACACGAGTGTAGTGATATAAACGTTGAACAGTTATTTACTAGAACTCTGTGCCCATGGCTGTATTAGGAAGCCTGGGGAAGGTGAAGTTGGGGTGTGTTGTGGTGGAAGAGGAGAATTGTGTAAGAGAGTTTAACTCTCATCATCTACATCAGGGAATTTGTAGATAATACCTAAAACTTAAAATCAAGTAATAGGAGAATAAGCATGTTGGGTAGAAGTATGGAATGAAATGTCAGAAGAAACATCTACAATTATCTGGACCAGTTACTGGAGCATAGTGCGTGCTCAATAAACATTAGTAAATTCTAGATCTCAATAACTCCAAAGTACAGCTGATAACTGCAAATTTAAAACATAGTGAATGTAAATATATATTGATCTCTCTCCAGATTTTTCATTAAATTGTTTCTATTTATGTTCATTTAATTTGCTTACCCTGTTGTTTGATGTACACTTTTATTCAGAGGAAAACTTGTTTTTATTGCATATGTAGGCATGTGTGAGAATTCCGTCCACTTTATTTTAGTATTATTTGGCTTATAATATTTTTAACTGTAATACTTGTTGTTTCTTAAAATAGAAGTATTATGGCTACTCGTTTAATTTGCTAGTATTTTGCTGTTTGCCTTATACATTTTACTGATAATTTGCTCTGTTTTCATGAACTATGTAAGAATTTAATTTTTTTCAGTTTCAGAATTGTACTGAAATACTACATTTTACAGTATTTGCTTTTATAATATATCATATGTGGTATGTCATTTATCAGTAAATTTGCTGTGTGTTAGTTTACTGTTTACTAATATTTAATGCCATTATATTCATCTTTAGCAATCTAAATTTTTTTAGGCATGGAAGATGTTGTTATGCCTTTAGAAATTATGATTGCCTACTGGAATATAGCATGTTTTCATATCCACAGGAAACTTTTCCCCTAGAAGGTTATAAATCACTTTTAGTATGTGAATTATGAGAAAAAAATTGGGAATTATTTTATATACATACTTGTCTTAGATCTTGGCAAAAATAGCAATGGGTCTAAGAAATACCCTTATAAAATAGCAAATTGAGAATTATGGAATGTACTAATGTAATTAGTAATTTCAAAATGTTATCAGACTTTTCAAACTCATCAGACTTTTCAGTTAGTGTAAATATACTGCTCTGTAGACTGTTGTATAAAAATTGAGAAACTTCATAGATGTGTTATTTTAATATAATAGCTGTTTTAATTAAAAGAATAATGCAGTATTTATACAATTTATTTTATCAAGAAAGCTACTGATTTAATGCTCTTTTAAAAATTAAAATAGACTGTTTTAGATAATCAAGACATTTACTCTAATAGAGGAAAAATAGAGATAGGATTTTATATATTACAAATGTCTGTTCTGACAGTATTGCTAAAAGAGATTATGAAATATTGAAAACATACTAGTTTGTTTTTACTTTTCATCACCTAACTCAAAAGAAAAACAAAAGTCCTGATTTTTAAAATATGAAACTAGAGTATTTTTAATTCACAGATTGTATTTTACATTAAAAACTTTTATGTAAATCTAGATCTTTGTAAAGCATTCTACTTAGTTAAGAACTGTTTTGTTTCAGTTTCTGTTTCGCAACCTGAAATATTCTTTGCTTTTAGTGGCATTGTTGGAAATAGTGCAACTACATTATTGACCACCATTGAAGAAATGCATTTGCTAAGCAAAAAAATATTCTTCAATAACTTGAGTCTTCATGCAAGTAAATTAATGGACAAGGTATGTTTGAAAAATATAATTATTATGTGAATGTGAATCTTTCACATTAAAGATGTTTTAATGATTTTTGTATTGATTGGTAATTTTTCCTATTGCATTCTATCTTCTTTTGAGTTCTTCCTATGACCAACAAATTTCATTTTGAGATGGCTTACTGGACTTAAGATTGTAGTCTGTATTCCTGAAACAGTATCACATTTAGTTATGATTGGCTGTAGAGCCTCAGGCTCCAATTTAACTACTATTTTTTCTGTAACAAAAATTGTATAATTAAAGCAAACTTACTGTATTTAGCTGGGGGATAAGATGACATACAGATTGGAAAACCAGAACTCTTACAAAATGTTTTTTCCAAACAGCTTATGTTTTTACCCTTTGATGTTACAGGTTTGTCCTTATGAAATGTATGCTCCTCTGAGTTACATAATTATTTATGAAAACAAACAAGAAAAAGCATCCCACAAAAAAACAAATAAGCCAAAAACCTGAAAGTAAGATCTGATATTTTAAATTGAGCAGGATGTTGTGGCATGACCTTAAGGAATACATTTAAAGTGATCAAATCATTCTTTATTTTTGTTTCGTTATTGAGGACATGAGTTTTTGAAGGGTGTGTCACAATCACTATGCTGGGTTTTTACTACTGTAGCTAATAGGCTAGCTATATTAAGCCCAGGCTTTGTAAAATGGTATAAAATAGTAGCAATTTGGTTCCAAATACCTGGTCAGTCTTCACTTTCGTAAGTTCAGTCTTCACTTTCTGAAGCCTTAATAGGAGTCTACTTCCTGACCCTCATTCATGACTCAGATTTATTTGGAAAAGGAACATGAATTTGTGGAGATGGAGTATCTACCTTAATTTTTCTTGCCAGTGTATTTCTGTTTGCATCAGCAGTTTACTAACAATCATTTCTGGTTATGTTTGTTTTTATGAGTTCTTATTTAGACAGACCTTTTCTAAAATAATTTATATATGATATACAAACATCAAATCTGAATAAATATGTTCTAGCTATTGAGATACAAGGATGAACACTCAAGGTCTGTTGGCCTCATTAAGGTTGCTTCTCCTTTGGTGGAAAATAACCAAATAAATCTGGTTATTATAGAATGTACCTAGGGTATATACTAGCACCAAAGGAAGAGTATATTTAGCAAACTATATGTATTCCTTTACAGAGAGGAAGCTTTCCACAGAGAGAGGTAGTAGAGTTGAACTTAGAAGGACAGGAAGGCTTTAGATAGGAGAAGAAAAAAAAAGAAAGGAGTGGATAGGGGTCATCTTAAATAGAAGAAACAAATAGAACACGTTAGAACATGAGCTGTGAGTTACCTATAAACACGTTTTTCATTTATTAAAAATTTTAAAATACCACTTGTAAAGTGCTGTGTTTATATATATGTGTATATATATAACATATATAAGCACATTTTTCATTTATTAAAAATATCACTTGTAAAGTGATGTGTTTATACATACGTATATATGTATGTATATATGTGCATATATACATGCACACACATACACATACATGTATATAAAACATGCACATACATATATATGCATGTGTATATATAACATACACATACATATATACATATGTGTATATATATAAACACACCACTTTACAAGTGATATTTTTTAATAAAAAATGTGCTTCTATATATATCATGTGGTAAGGCCAGGTTGGAGATAGGAAAATTAAAGGAGTATTGAAGTTGTTGTTATTCATACATGATCTAAGGGAGAGACTCTGGGAATAGGAAAGAGGGGACAGATTCTTGAAGAGTAAAGATAAAGTCTTCAAAATTTGATGACTGAATATGGGAAAGTGAAAGGGAGTCATCCAGAATAATTCCTAAGCTAATCACAAATATCTAGAATACAGAAAGAGGGTACAATTTGGGAGATAACGATGGTATTGTCTGAGTTAGATAAATTGAGTTTGACATTCCTATGAGAGATTCCTCCAGAATTGGTCTAATCTAAAAGGGAGTGATACATTCGGATTTAGAGAGTTTTACATGTAGGAGATGGTTGAATTCATGGGTTTGAATGAAGTCACTAGGAATATTTTTTAACAAGAGTAGAGCTACCAGAACACAGTCTTGGGAAATGCTGACATCTAAGAGAAGGAAAAAAGTCAAAGAGTATGATGCTGAGAGAGGATGGCCAGAGAGGCAGGACAAAAATTAGGATAAGGTTTTATCAGAAAAAGCTAAGAGAAGAGAGTTTCTAGAGGGAAGGCATAGTTAATAATGACAGATGCTTTTAAAGAGTTCTAGTAGCAGGCTTGTCATCTTTGGCACTATATAGATGATAGGTGACCTTACTGGACAATAGGAGCCAGATTGCAGAATATAGAAAAACACATGGGTAAGCATGTTACCCAAAGCTTCACCAATTGGAAAACATATGGGCCTCAAGACCAAAAATAGATGTGTTAGGCATTTGTATTAAGAAATTTAAAACAGAACAATAAAATAAAGATAAATAGAAAGGATGGAATTAAATTTTGTGACAAATAAGGAAACAAAAGCAGAATTGATTATTTGTTGAAAAGATAAAATTGACAAACTTCTAACAAGTCTAATCAAGAAAAAAAAAGTTTTTAGAAGTTGGAGACAATCCACAGAAGAGAATTAAAACTTCTTAGAGAGTGCCATGTAGAGTTTTGTGGTAATAATCTGAAAAATCTGAGCAAGATGAATGCTTTTTAAGGTGATAAAAATTGGTAAGATGTGAGTCAAAAAGAAGTGGAAAGTTTGAATATACCCAAAGAAAGGAGAAAAGTTATTAAAAAACATGTTGCCAGGCCTAGTTCAGATCATATATATATATATATATATATATATATAAAGAACTTCATTCATACTTAGGAGGAACAGATAATTTTCCAGAACATGGAAAAATATGGAAAGCTTCTCAGTTTGTTCTAGGTGATACAACACCGACATAAACCTTTTAGAGGTAGTCATCAGTGAAACAAAGATTAGTCACTTTTTAAGTTTTAAAGCTTCAGAATTCCGCATTTGTATATGAAAACCAAGGTGGTTTATTTCTTGAATATAAGAATGTTTTAGTGTTAGGAAATATATTAAATGAGTACATAAAATACATTTTGTATTCTCATATTTGATCACATTGTCTGGGGGAAAATCTTAGTAAATAAATCATTGGGGAATACTTCCTTAATCATAGAAAGAGAAATAAAACTAATAGCCAACATCGTAATTAATATTGATGCACTAGTGGCTCTTCTATTTAAGTGAAGAGCAAGAATGCTTGCCAATACTTTTCAATAATAACCACGGTAGAAAGACCAGATAAAGAAATGAAATTCAAATATTTTAAAGGAGGAGACATTAGATTCTTTATGCATGTTATGATAGTCTATTTTGAAGACTTAGGAGAATCAACTGAAATTGTACAACCAGAAAATGAATTCTAGTGAAATAGTTGGTGAAAAGATCAATATACAAATGTAATTAATTTTCTTATATGCCAGCTCATGAGGTGCTCGGTAAATACTGATAACACGAATGACTGGTTCGGTTCATTTTCTCCTGGCCTGTATTCCATCAGTATCTTGCCATTAGTTTTAAATCTCTTTCATCCTTGCCATTTTACCACATTTGCTTTGCCAAACCACCTTGAATTAATTCAATTTTTCAATTGTTCCTGTGCATACTATGACTGGCAAGCACTGCTAAGAAAATTACATGCCCATACAGACAGGAGTCAGTCAAAATTGTCTCCAACATCAGGAAAGCTCTCCATGAGGTCTAGCAAATGCTGATTGTCCTTTGGTGTACTACCCATAGTTACCTTACTTACTGTCACCCATTTCCTGAAATCTACCATACTACCCCCTACCAAAAAAGTACCAACCCTTGCTAAAACGGGATGATGGACATTAAAAAGAATCATTGCCAACATGAAGAGCAAAAAGCGAGATATTTTGTTTTTTTCTCATTTGGATTTCTGTGATTCTAGTGAGAAGGAACATTTTGAGATACGTTTTTGGCTGTGAGTTGCATGTTCAAGTCCTTTGTCATTTTTCTGTTGGGTTGTCTTGTTTGTTTCTGATATTGTTTATGTGTTAAGAATAGTAACTCCATCATACACATTACAGACATTTTCTCCACACATCGTTTGCCTTTATAATTTACCTGTAGTATTTTCTGACACATCAACTTTTAATTTTTTTATCGTTAAATATAAACTTTTTAAATAGTTTTTTCCCTTGGGAGCATTCCATGCTTGAAAGTATTCCCACAAGAAAATACATTTACAGTTTAATATATAATGATGTTAGCATCTATTAGTGGGGAAATGATAAATTGTTTAATACATTTATTTAGATGTATTTTCTTAGATGTTTCTATGTATTCACTTTGTTTATTTTTTTAAGAGACAGGGTCTCACTTGTTGCCCAAGATTGTAGCTCACTGTAGCCTTGAATTCCTGGGCTCAAATCATCCTTCTGCCTCAGCCTCCCAAGTAGCTGGGACAATAGGCACATACCACCATGACTGGCTAATTTAATTTGTTTTTTTTTTTGATAGAGACATGGTTTCGCTATTTTGCCCAGGTTTGTCTCAGGCAGTCATCCTGCCTCAGCCTCCCAAGGTGCTGTAATTACAGGTGTGAGCCACCACACCTGGCCCTGGCCCTGGTTTCACGTTTACAACAAATTTTTAATCTACTGAAGTTTATTATTCTTCATACTGAAAAGTTAGAACCTTATTCTTCCCTAAGTGGTTTTCCATTTATTTCCCCTTAGTAAATTTCTGTATATTTTATAAGTCACGTAAAAGTTAAAATGAAAGTGGCAACGAAACAGGAAAATATACAGTTGACTCATGGAAGTGCGGATGCTGACCCCATGCAGTTGAAAAATCTGCGTATGACTTTTGACTCTGAAAATGTAACTGCGAATTAGCCTGCTATTGACTGGAAGCCTTGCTAGTAACCTAAGCAGTCAGTTAACACATTT